TGTGATAATGACACAAAGCTTTTATTTTGTCATATGAGCTTTGTACCAGGATATTTTGAGTACACAAACTGAGGAAATTCAAGCAGTAGTTCATGATTGTTTCTGAAGTTTTAACAAGTAAGGAAAAAAAAAGTCCTGCTGCATACAAAAGCCAAGCTTGTGATCAATTAAAAATGTGAGAGTTTGACCAAACCTTTAAGGCTTTCTAGCACATATTGATTAAAAGAGATGGATAGTACAAGTAGGAATGCAATGCAAAATGAAATAAAATTGGCTATATCAAATTACTTTGTTATACTTTCTACAGATTATCAAAGCAGCTCAACATTAAGAAATTGAAGCATTTTGTCCAAAGCCTCTATAGTAAAGGAAAATTAATTAATAAGTAATGAATTGTGCAGTTGGCTGCTTTGCTAATTCTAGAGTCTGATTGATGTATCTAATGATTTGTATCAATAACTCTGTCAAAGCAGAGTCCCGGTAATAACTTGGTAGAGAGAAATTGCTTCATTAGTTCCTAAACTGTGTTAAAAATATTATGTTTCTATACATGTAGTTTTAGGGGTGGAGGTGTACATATATATATATACACGCATATATATATATATGTACATATATATATGTTTCAATTAGACTTTCAAAAAAAAGAGCAGCTTCTGTGCTCAAAAGGTTGCTCATTGATACTCACTACAGTGGTTGGCTTAAAGAAAGAGATTGCCTTTCTGTATAGCCCTTCCCTTATATCAGTCAATCAGGCATTAGCTAGGAGGACCATGATGTCACTAAATGCTTTCCAGAATTTTCCTACACAAAGAATGGTACACATTTCATACAATAAATAAGGATTATCAAAATAATAAGAAGGAACTACTTATTTCAGCATGTATTTGGAATTGTATGAAATGTATATTTGTTGTTCATATACGAAGAATGTTGTACTTAGAAATGCTAATTACTGAAAGACATGTCTTCTTACACCTTGGGCTAAGGTTTGGTGTCATCTGATATCAATGTAAATTAATAATCTGATCCATTAATCATCAGTCCAATTAATGGTTCATCTGAGTATTACTGTACAGGGTTAAATTTAGTTTTCTCTTTCAGCCATTCAGCACTACTAAAGTGTAATAAAAAAGAGGAAAGCTGATAGCCAATTTTGTAACCTCTACTGTGAGTAATATTGAACATACATTGAAGAAGGTTATAATGGAAAGGATGTTATTTTTGCATTACGATGTGTTGTGTTTCAAGAAGCAATTTGAATAGCCTCCAGCTGTGTTATCCCAGACTGAAACAGGACAATAGAAAGTACAAATTCAACTATAATACTAGCAACTACCACTGCATAACACAGAATATAATTTTTATCTTCTAGAGAGAATCTAATCAAAAAGTGGTTTCCAGCATAGTAGTGTCATCCATGGTTTATACATAGTGAGAGCATCACCACTGTCAGTGATTTCTGCATACAGCTAGGTATGATGTGTGTTCTTTTTTGTTAGATTATATAGAAGAAGGGTCCTAAAATGCTCTGAATCTTTGCAGCATTTACAGAGAGGGTATTGCTTCCATTTTTATAAGTTGATGTGCTAAAGCCAGTTGTTGGGCTAGAGTCGTTCTTTGAGAAGCAGTATTGATATGCAGTTCCATCAAGCTTTATGAACCTCTTTCTTCTATAAGGAGTGTGTTTGCCCTGCACAGAATATAAATCTCAGTAAACCTTTCCGACATACCCTTTCTGTTAGGAAACCTCCCATTTCCAGCAACAAACAGATCTTCAAGTGTGTTATTTAAACTTTAATTTGGGGAAGGCCAGATTTCTGCTTTGGACAAGGTATGATTTCTTTGCCTCGGTCTTCTCTAGCAAAGGCTCTGACCGCACCACCCAAGTCTTGGAAGGCAGATGCAGGGACTGTGAGAATGAAGACCTTGGGCCCACTGTAGGAGAGGAATTGGTTCTAGACCATCTTAAAAATCTGACTGTGCACAAGTCCATGGGTCCTGATGAAACCCATCCGCGGGTCCTGAAGCAGCTGGTGAATGAACTTGCTAAGCCGCTGGCCATCATATTTGAAAAAACATGGCAGTCAGGTGAAGTTCCTGACGACTGCAAAAAGGGAAATATAACCCCCATTTTCAAGAAGGGGAAAATGGATGACCCAGGGAATTACAGACCAGTCAGTCTCACCTCTGTGCCTGGCAAAATCTTGGAGCAGATTCTCCTGGAAGGCATGCTAAGGCACATGAAAAACAACAAGGTGCTTGGTGACAGCCAGCATGGCTTCACCAAGGGGAAATCCTGCCTGACCAATTTGGTGGCCTTCTATGATGGGGCTACAGAACTGATGGACAGGGGTAGAGCAGCTGATGTCATCTACCTGGACTTGTGCAAAGCGTTTGACAGTGTCCCACACGACATCCTTGTCTCTAAATTGGAGACACATCAATTTGATGGATGGACCACTCGGTGGGTAAAGAACTGTCTGGATGGCCACACAAAGAGTTGTGGTCAATGGCTCAATGTCCAGCTGTTGACCAGTAACGAGTGGTGTCCCTCAGGGATCGGTGTTGGGACCGGTCTTGTTCAACATCTTCGTCGCTGACATGGACAGTGGGATTGAGTGCACCCTCAGCAAGTTTGCCGATGACACCAAGCTGTGTGGTTCGGTTCATACGCTGGAGGGAAGGAATGCCATCCAGAGGGACCTTGACATGCTTGCGAGGTGGGCTGATGCCAACCTCATGAAGTTTAACCATGCCAAGTGCAAGGTCCTACACCTGGGTCGGAGCAATCCCAGGCACAGCTACAGGCTGGGCAGAGAAGAGATTCAGAGCAGTCCTGCAGAGAAGGACTTGGGGGTGCTGGTCGATGAGAAAATGAACATGAGCCGGCTTCAGTGTGCGCTTGCAGCCCAGAAAGGCAACCACATCCTGGGCTGCATCAAAAGGAGTGTGACCAGCAGGTATAAGGAGGTGATCCTGCCCCTCTACTCTGCTCTTGTGAGACCTTACTTGGAGTATTGTGTGCAGTTCTGGTGTCCTCAACATAAAAAGGACATGGAACTGTTGGAACAAGTCCAGAGGAGGCCACGAGGATGATCAGGAGACTAAAGCACCTCCCATATGAAGCTCGGCTGGGAAAGTTGGGACTGTTCAGCCTGGAGAAGAGAAGGCTGCCTGGAGACCTCATAGCAGCCTTCCAGTATCTGAAGGGGGCCTATAGGGATGCTGGGGATGGACTCTTCATTAGGGACTGTAGTGACAGGACAAGGGGTAACAGGTTAAAACTTAAACAGGGGAAGTTTAGATTGCATATAAGGAGGAAATTTTTTCCTGTTAGGGTGGTGAGGCACTGGAATGGGATGTCCAGGGAAGTTGTGAATGCTTCATCCCTTGCAGTGTTCAAGGCCAGGTTGTACGAGGCCTTGGGTGATATGGTTTAGAGCAAGGTGTCCCTGCCCATGGCAGGGGGGTTGGAACTGAATGATCTTAAGGTCCTTTCCAACCCTAACTGTTCTATGATTCTATGATTCTATGTGTCCAAGCTTTGCCTTGGGAGCAGCTTTCCTCATCTTTTTTTTTTTTTTTTGGTACAAAGCAGGTACCAGAGGCAGTGGAAAGGTGAGAACCTGCAGCCAGCTTGCCCCCACTGACACTGCCCCATTTTCAGCTGGTTTTGAAGGTTGGTTTTATGACATGGCTGAAGAACTGAATTGGCTTTGTCTACACTACTGGATTATTTGCCTTCCACAGCAAAGTTGAAATATCTTTCATGGCTTGCGTCCAGATACTCTGTTTGCAAATTTCTATAGCAGCAGCAGCAGCCACTATCAAATAGTGTGGGTTTGGAGGTTTGTTTTGGGGTTTTTCTGGAAAATCTTTTTTGGCATTCTACAAATGATCAGAGGAAGAGCAGGTGTTTAAATAGAAAAGCACAATAAACCACAAATCTGGTTAACAAGTAGTAATCAATAAGAAAGCTAATGGGGCTCAGGACAGTTCTTGTGTCAGAGGAGTCTGCCTCCAGAGCAGGTTTTGAATCTGTATGACAACATCAGTTAGGACCCAAGAATTCGAGTTATTTTCATTCCAGTTCAAACAAGCCCAGTAAGCTTTTGTAAAGATACAGTGTAAATATCCTATAAATATTATTTTTAAATCTCAGGGTTATATTCTTGGATCTGATTCAGCCATTGAGCATCCTAAGCATGTCTCTGCTTACTAATAGCTACTTCCTTAATATTTATGGATATCTTTTTCATCACATTCACATGGTGATATCCAGAGGTGTAAAGGGAAACATGGCTGCAGGGAACACAAACTGTGCTTCTCATATCCCTGTTCCTTCTCTTGTGTATCCAGTCTCTCTGTTTTTCACCAATTTCTTCTGTTTTCCAGCGAAATTGTCACTAAGCTTTGTGTTGTGTTAAATGTGTGCTTTTCTGTTTTCTGCTGTTTAATCAATAGTCCACTAATCTTGGCTAAAGCTGTGAAATCAGAGGTAACATGCATGTATTTAACATATAGCTGGGTCCTTTAAGTCTGCTGTAAAATTCTTTACCAAAATCATGGGCACTAGGAAATTGTATAACCTTCAAGAAATCCCATTAAGCCTGCAAAATAATCTGCCACCTCACAGATCTTCCCTTTCAGCTCTGCCAAGGACTGGCTTCAGCACCAAAGCACGAGATAAAAACCCATTCCAAAGTTGACAGTGCACACTGCAGTAAATCTAGGCATTCTGAATCTGTTTATAATGGTAGCATCTCCTGTGGGCTGATTATGTACTAGATAAAGAAATTCCTCTTTTTACCACTATGGAATTTCCTTCCTTTCCATTATATATGGTCTATCACACTTTTTCTATGAGAAACAGAAAACAGCAATTTCTTATCTGCCTCCCTTGTTCCATGCATAGCTTCAGGTAATTTATCATGTTCTTTCTTTTCTATAGTAAACAGCTCCACTTTCTCTGTACAATTTTAGTTTCCCCTCTCTAGTGCTATTCTGTGAGGAGTTTGATCTTCTTGAGATGGAGTAATCAACAATATTCTGCAAATGTTTACAGTATTTCAGGCAAGGTAATACATTGATTATACAGCTGTAGATGAACTAGAGTTGTCTTACATTTTTACCCATTCTGCACACCAGTATTTGGAAGTTACAAAAACCACCTGCATGTTGAACTGAAGTTTTGAGCTATTCACAGTGGTGTTCTCTTTTAATAATAACTTAAAAAAAGTATAATAAGCATAAAGCCGTGCAAGCTTTGCAAGTAATTCAGTTCTTCTTTCTGGATGTGTATTCAGTAATCCCAACTGAATTTGCTCTATACGCCTGTTCGACTGAAAAGCAGACTGAAAGTGCTTTTCCCAAAGTGCTTCCAGTTTAGCTAGAGTCAAACCGCATGAGAACCATAGTTCTTAAAAGCAATGCCAAATTGTTCCACTTTTGGGTGGTTCTGGCTACTTCCATGACATGGAAGTTTCTTGCCTCTGAAAAGAAACAGGTTAAATTTGTTTAAACAAGATACTACTGAGTTTTTTAAAATCATGTAATAACTTTAAAAACTTCTCTTGAATTTACTGGGGTGATAATTACAATACTAAATACTTTTATCAGTGACATCCCTCAAGCGTAATTTATCAGTGAACAAGAACCTAAAATTTATCAACTGTGAGACTGGATCACCTCATTGATTTTCACATTCTATTTTCTATATGAAATCTACCTTTCCTTAGAAGGTAAAAGTAAAAGCTAGCATTATTTTTACTACTACCCAGTGGTATAGTATATACCCAGTGTATGCATGATCATCTATGATATTGCTGGCTGCATAGCTCAGCATTGAGGAGCTAAGCTAGAATAAATTTACTTTCCATCTGCTATATGCATGAGTGTAGGAGCAGGAAAAGTATATTTAAAGAAAAAGAGGGTGAATAAAAGAAGCTTCAGAGCTTAAATAAACAGACTTTATTCACTTGACTAACATTCAGTGACAACTTTGAGAAGTGGCTGAGAATCTTCCAAAATGTCTTTTCGTTACTGCTGTAGCACTGAGTCTTCGGGGTCTTGATTTTGGGGATGAGAACAGGGAATGGATACTATTGCAGTGCAATAATCATCAACGTGCCTGTGTAAACATTTCTAACACCAGGAGATCCACTGGTGGGGGAGAAGTACAAAATCTTGTAGTTTTCTGCTGGTGAGAACAAATAAGCTATATCAATATTCAAAGAGATGCAAACACTTTATTGACAAATTTCTTTATTCACGCCTGTAATACTGTCAGAGTCAAATGCAGAGATTTTACAGTATGAAGTGATTTTCTTCTTTCAGAGGATGAAATAATAATACTAAATTGGAAGCATAATAAAGATTCAAAAAGGTCACAGTACTGGTGGAAGAGACCAAATCTTCTGTGCAGTTCCATTCTCTAAAAAGCACATAATGTAAAGCCATGAGTAAATACTAATAAAACCTGGCAAAATATCACTAACAACAAATATTCCAAAGGCAGTTTTATTGAAATCCTTTGGAACTGAATTAAAAGATCATATGGCCTTCCAAAGGCTGTGTGGATCAAGGCCTAAGAGAAGTCAATTCTTGACTTTAAATCCCAGTGGCCTTTACCCTTTTGCATCAAGCAGGAGCTTGTCCAAAAATAATATCCTGAATGCAAATGACCTGTTATAGCACTTATTACTTAGGGTATAATGTTCAAAGCAGAAGAGTAGTGAACTTAAATTAGTTGAAGAACTCATATGAAACCCAACTTCTAATAATAGTGAAGCAAGTCTTCCATATGTTGTTATAAATTTCAGTCCAAGATGATTAACGTGGCTCACAGGCTACTCTTGTAAGATGATAGAAGTGATATTTTTGCTGCCTCTCTTGAGAGGGTTAGTGTTTCAAAATTATTTCCAAACAAGCATCTTCCAAGCAAAAGATGTTTCTCATTTTTCCTTCACCTTAATAAAAAGGTGTTGAACGCTCTCTTCCTAAATGTTGTCATTATGGGAACATTAAACAAATATCATGATGGTGTGATGTGATAACAGTGTATGTGATATCCATGAAATAATATGTTACATTCACTAATACAAGTTTAATTTATTGTTGCTGTCACTACGTTTGAAATAGAAAGCTTGTATTGTAAGCATGTGGGGAATCTCAGAGGTAAATTCAACAGATCCATTTTCAGTCAATGTTATTTGTACTTCCAGTAGGTTTCTATGTAGCATTTTAAATCAATTCTGTTGAAAGAATTTCCTAAAAAAAACTATATCTTACAAGCTTCTTTATTAATTAAAATCATGCCAATATTAGATTAGATAGCAAGTTGTTTACAGCCATAAGTATTACTGGCCTGGAATCTTTCTTATGGCATAGATAAATATGATTGACAAAGCTCAAAAGATTGGTTTGGGCAATGAGAAAAGGTTATTTGGGTTCAAAATCATAAAACTTGGGTCTTGGCTCTACTGAAGTCATTGATAACGCTGTCACTCACTTATGTAAATATTAAGTCATCTCTTCATTATATGAGATCTTGCTCTATGACAAACTGAAGGGGCAAGTCTCTGGTTCTGTTCTCTAAGTTGTTTGGGTGACCTTGGACAAATCAGTTTAGTATTTCTCACCCAATGCCCGTAGCTGTAAGAGGCCTAATTGTTACATAGAGCCTTATTCTTTCTACCGATACAAGCAGCTCTCTGCTGGCCTGGTTGCTGGGCATGCCTGCAGCCCACAAAGCAACGCTGAGTTAAAACACTGGAGCCAGCTCCAAATGAGTTGATGCATCTGTGTTGTCAGTGCAACACAGAGCCATACAGCACAATATAATTACATGGGCCCAGTGCTCTACCTCAGCTTGTTCAGAGCCAGCTCAGACCTCTCTTCACAGCCCTTCACTTCATGCACATTAAGCCTACCCATTTCCCAAACTTTCACACCCGTTCCCCCATGTTATCCCTTATTTCTCCACTGTTAAAGAGTAAATATAAATTTCCACTTGCATCATAGTTGTGAGAACAAAATGTATGATGTTCCAAAATACCAAGATACTGCCCTGATAAAACCTCTGTAAGCATACAGATGGCTAGGTAAGGGAACGGCAGGAGGTACAAGTTGCAGACATCAAACAGTTATTTAGTTACTGATAGTGTGTGATGCTGTTCATAGATGAGGCAGATAAAAATGACAGATATTATTGTTTGGCTGAAACTATTCATCCTGATTCCTCCTCTCTTATTCAGAAGAACTGAGGCTTGAAATGTGTGTCTGTGTGTACTATTGACGCCTGGTGAAAAGCATCTGTCAGACCGTGTGTGTTTGTGAGCTCTTGGCCAAGCCACTGAATGACTCTTTTAGTTCACTAAATGCAGGCTTGTTTTATAGCTAAGTGACACAAGTTTTCCTGTGGAAATTGCATCCAGTTGTTGGCCTCTCATCACAGAGTCTCTATCTGATTAAATTTTTCCAGCTAGTAAGAAGCCATGCTACATACAAGTAGGGTCTTGAACTTTGAACAATGTGATATGAATAGTGTTTAATTCAGACATCAAAAGGCCAGACTTCTCACTTCAGGGTGAGAGGATGAAAGGAGAGCCAGGAAAAGAGTGAAAAGTTGATAGGAGCAACGTTTCATTATTAAACTGTAGGGTTGTTGGCAGGCCAACCTAGATAGGATGGTTTTCCTGGATTATTTGTGATCCATTTGTCTATCACAGATTATATTACTTTGCCCATATTAACTACTTTATCAAAACTTAATCATATAACCTTATGCTAAAACTCAGTTCAAGACCTCTCTTAGGTTTATGAGCTATTGGATTGTAGTAGATTATTGGTGTTCAAAACAATATATATATATGTCTGTGTGTATGTTTCCTTGTCAAAACTTGTGACAACATCCCAAACTGATACGTTACAGATGTCTGATGCTACTTGACAGATGTGTTCTTCAACAGCCAAAGGCTGATCCAGGTAGGCTTAACTCTCATATACTATTTTATGGCGTTTTTCTTATGTACAGTTCTGCTCAGAGAACACAGACAGCATCAGTTAATACCAACAAAAGTGTGCTTTTTCATAAGCCAAAGGTTACTGGAAAATGGATGGAGATTGGAACTACCACCATTAAACTTCCAGTGGTAAGTTTTGTAGCTTTGGGGTCTTTGGCAGGCCACTATAAACCCAATTGTGCTTTAAATCCTGTTTTTTCTCAACCCTGTTTTGTAGGCCAGTGCTTAGGTACCACCTGAGTGCATTTTGACAGTGTACTTTCTGGATGTTTATTTTTGCTTTAGCATCTGATTCTCCTCAGCTCAAGGTAGCCTAGCACAGCAGCCCCTGCCAGTCCCAAACCAACAAGTGTCTCAAATCTGTCAAAGGTGAACACTAGACCTCAGTTAACACTGACCACTAAACCCTAGGTCTTAATCCTGGCTTTATCTTGTCCCAAAGTTTATTCCACAAAACCTGTATTAGCTCAAATCAGATGCTAGTGGCAAGCCAGCTCAATTTTTATTTTCTTTAGCAGTATCATAAGCTTTCATGGGTTGTTTAGAATCATGCATATTATCAGATCAAATATTTTGAGTCTTTTTAGTCATAAATACTTTCCTACCTGAGATCAAAATTACTTTTTCTTCAAAGCCCTGCTTTAATGAAATAAATGTGTAGCAAGCTTATGCTGTCTTCCAATTAAAATACTCTTTCCACTGCTATATTTAAGGTAGGAATGGATGCCATAATATTAATTAGAAATTGGGAAAACTGGGACATGGAAGCAGAACACCAGTCTGTATCTGTATCCTAAAAGGGTATACTCATGCTCTGTTGAATCTCTGTGTAGAGCAACTGTTACACAAACCATCCATAACTAACATTTGTTTTAACAGAATTGTTCTGTGATGCACATGGTGTCCTCAAGACAGCTTTATCCCCCTCAAGAGAAATCACTTGTACCATGTTAAAAGTTAATTTTTCCTCCTAAAATTAAATTGCAAAGTTGGGGATATCAGGGTCTATGTACGCCACAAATGAAATCCATCTTACCTTCTTCTTTGCCATTATGTGGCAATAGATAATATTTCTATTTATAATCTCTAAAAAAAATGCATTGCCTCTTGCTGCTTGCTGTATGCGCTGTCATAACTTTCACTGTGTTCAAGAGTTCTGATTTTGAGATTGTGCAACTGAAAACTTCACACAGTGGAAGGTTTATCTAGTAATAACTAGATAATTAGATCATTTGGATATTGGATAATGTCTGTAGTTATCAAAGTATTTATTATGTGAGGTAACTCTTACAAAAATTCATTTTTAATTTACCTTCTCATTTCAGTGACAGTTTAAGTAATTTTGTCTCTATAAAGGAATCTGTTTGACATTTGTGCTGCAAAAGGGGATGTTGGTGTATGAGAGAAAGTACATAGGGTTTGATCTCAGCCAGTGAGGCAATTTAGGGAAATGAAAGTCTTCAGCAGCAATAGTTCTGATTCAGTCACCCATAAATCTCCCCGAGGGATGTGCATCCTTCAGTCTTGTCTTTGCCCTATCAGTATCCTCATCCTTCAGTTCCCTGTCTTTGCCCTAATGTAGCCTCTGACGGAATCTCTACCCCACCTTCTTCTTAAGGCATCTTCTGGCTCATTTCCTATTTGAAAATCCATTTGCTCTGTGCTCAAAAGGAGCCAGTTTTTCTGCCCACTTCATTAGTGCAGTGACCAGTTTAGATTGCACCGCGGGGTGAATGTTTGATGGGCTCCCCATGGGCTGCCTCTGCTGGGCAGGCAGCTGATCAACAAATGAAATAAAAGATAATAATAAATAATATATAAAAATAAAAATAAAAAGATAATAATAAAAGATTCCCCCCCTTAAAGTATGGGGGAATACATGCCTGCCCTCCAGGAAAATTAAGAGAAGTGGGCCAAGTTCTTAAAATAGCGAGAGACTTCACAGCTGCTCTCATGGCAGCAGGAGCCCACCCTTTCACAAGCTTGTCTGCATGGCTTCATTTCGCAGAACTGAGAAACTGATCTTCTAGCAAAGGTGGTTTGGGGAGTTACTACAAGTACTAGTTAAAAATCTCTATTTCATGTCCATTCAGCATCTTTATCCGTGTCCATAAAACACATGGAGAGCGTGTTTCAGGGAACATGTTAGTTCTTAGGGGCAGGCTGACTGAACAAAGCTGGGATGAAATAATGTGGTGAGTTGACTCCTGGTCAACAGCCAAACACCACTCCATTCTCCTGTTGGCTCTGGAGAAAGTAGGAGGAAGGTGAGAAGACTCACGGATAGGAGATGAAAGTGCACTGGGTGATGCTAAAGCTAGGTGTGCAAGCAAAGCTACTCCCTATCATCAGACAGATGTTTAGCAGCTTCCTAGGAAGCAGGCCTTCAGCATGCACAACCAGAGATTACTTAGGAAGACCAACACCATAAACACTCCTCCTTTTCCCAAGCTTGTATTGCTGAGCACATAATGGGGTATAGGTTATCCCTTTGGCCAGCTCAGGTCAGCTCTGCTGGTCGTGTCCCTCCAAACCTACCCACTGAGGGGACAGAGTGGGAAAGAGAAAGCCTTGATGCTGTGCAAGCACTGCTTAGCAGTAGCCAAAATACTGGTGAGTTATCAACACCATCCTAGCCACAAATCCAAACACCCTACAGGCCAACTGTGGAGAAAGTTCACTACATCCCTGCCAGACCAAAGGCAAATACAAAGCCTTGTTTTATATTTGTTAACCTTCTTCAGTTGTTGCTCGTAATGATGTTGATCTCGGTGTGAAAATATGAGTTGGTACAACATTCCTATGAAACACGAGACTTCTCCACATAAGTACACGAGATTGGGAAGAGCAAGCTCTCAGCAGACCACTGCTCTGCTGATCCACGGCTTTGTCTACAGCAATGAGTGTTTTAACTTCTCCTTAGAAGCAATTTCTTCTTTCATGTTTTATTTTAGTGTCTTTTTTGGACTGGGGACCCTGAGAGTGACTTAATTTGGAAAAGTGACTGTTGCAGGATGATTGGGTTCTTATATTGCTCTTATTTCTCTGTATTATTTCCCTTTGTATGGCAGTTTTGGTACAGCTGCTGCTTTGTTGCTATCCTCAGAACTCTTAGGTTTTGGTGTGCTAGGGACCATATTCAGTGCTGTTTCCCCAGATAATATTAGACAATCACAAAGCTATAATTTTTAGTGTGGAAAGAAGGTGGTGTTGTTTGCAGCCTCATGTCGCAGGGAAGCCTGATGTGATGTATTGCAGTGAGCATCCCAGAGTTTGAGATAATTCTAGGAGAGATCTAAACTTAAAAGATTTACCCACTTTTTGCCTGCCCGGCTTCTCAGCTGACTGCACTTCTGGTGGGTGGCTTTTGAGTCACAAATCTCTTCTGATCCTCTTTGCAATATTCTAATGCTCCATGTTTGGTTAATCCCCTGGCTGTGCTGCTGCCTTGGGTTTTCAGGGCTGTGCTTTGTGTGTCCTCCCATGCTTCATGTTTTAGTGCCGTTGGCTATTGATGAAAAAAGTCCAGAGGACTTGCATATAAATTAAGAATATTTCTCTGGGTGGTGTTTCCTCTCTGTATTCATATCTGCCTTATTAGCAGAAATGTAAGTAATATTTGGTATTTGCCTGGTTTATGTTTTCCAGTACTGCTCATGGGATAAGCATGGTCTCTGTTCGCAAAGAGGTAAGTGGCTGGCTGCACAGGCTGTATGCAGACTGCACCCAAGCTGTCGCTGGGCAGTGGAGTGGCTGAAGCCACATGTCCCTATTGCTTCTCATAGGCAACTTCTGTACAGACTCACTGCTAGCCTTCTGCAAAATACAATCTCCAGTTTCATATGTAGACTGAAGCAAAAGGTGTAGCTGCCTCTTTCCCCAAAGCTCCTGGGAAGTTTTCATTGCTGGTGTTTTTGTTTTCCTTCATGGTGGACGCACAGTGCTGCTTTGGTGATTTAGTGCTTGGTTCCTGTATACACCATAGGAGGAGCTATTACCCAGGAAGGTTTCTCAAAAGACCGCTAGCTGCTGCTGTGGCACCAATATGAGCCATAGACTTGAGGTCAGTGTTTGGGGAACACAGTTTACTCCTCTATTAGCGGGACTGCTCTATTAGGACTTGCTGCCAGTGAATCTTAGTTAGTTGAAATGCTTAACCTCCTCCACTGGACAAAATTCCACTACTCTGGAAAACTCTTCTCTTTAATGAGAATTAACACTCAATTTTATTTTTATTTGTAAGATTTCTTGTCTCCTGAATTCCGCAGGTGTCTTTGCTTTATGTTTACTCGAAAACATCGACCACAGTGCTCCCCACTGTAGGACACACAATCTGAAAAGCCCCAAGAGCATTAGGAAAGCATCAGGATTTGGTAATATTATAACCTTCAAGCTTTAGAGAAACCCAAGAGAATCTAGTATGGTGAAGCTACTTCATATCAGTCACCACATACTTACAAATTCCTTAAATTGTCAGTAGTTTGTTTAGCCTAAACCCATTTTTTCTTCCAGTTACACACGTAGAGTATATGGTGCTTATAAAAGAAGGCTTTACATTACAAAAGCATCTCAATTTTTTTTGAAAGAAATAAGGGCACACTTGTATCTGGTGTATCCAAATGCCGAGGAATCCCATTCTTTCTCTTACAGATATAATGTTACACACAGTGTCCTCCTTCAGTCCTAAAGTTCATTTCCTCTATATCCTTAGTCCTGTTTTTACCTCACTATTTGTAGGCTATGACAGGAGTGTCTTTTTGCACTGTAACAGTGCCACAAAAGCTGTAGCCTGTGCTAGATAGCTATGGTTTTCAGTGTTTAATATTTACTTTGTCTTTTTAGTGTTTCTTGATAAATGGGAGAGGTACAGGAACGATGGAGAATGGACAAGAGGACATTTATTACAAACAGGTGTCAGATTTCTGACTCAAAAGCAGAAATAAGGAAAGCATTTCAGGCTCTACCTTGCAGAAAACAGAGGACAAAAGCTTTCATGGACTTGCTCTGACACAATGCTTTCTTGTAAACTTTGTCTTGTCTGTTCTACAAGCCCCAACCTATTTTCTTAATGGCCTTCTTTTAACAGTATTTCAATGTCATGCAGTATGATGTAAGTTCTTGAAGATATTATGGGTTTTATCAAACAATCAAGACCCATTATGTGAATCAACTTTTGTTTTAAAGATTCCTAAAATTGTCCAAATAGACTTCCACTACAAGCTTTCTATTAAATTTTGGATTAATGGCTAACACACATTGAAACAAAAGCACCTAACAGCTATTACATTCAGGTAGCCAAACATCTGTGCTGTATAGAGACGTGCAACTTATTTTCTAACCCCTTTTCTGATTTCATCTTTTTTATTACTGGTAAGTATGTTTGTTCTATGGGAGAAAAGAATAAGACTCACACCTTAGATCTCATTATATTTGGGCAGAGCACTTTTTTATAATTATCTTTTTAACACATTCGTAAGCATCTAGACAAGTTCTAATGTTGTTTCTTGACAGAAAAGTTTGCAAATATGGTGGCTAAAGTAGTTCCAAATGTCCTCACAGGCATTGGTGACTGGCAGAAATGAATTACTGCAACTCAGCCCCTACCCACTGAAATACTGCAGCACAACGCTGAAGTGTAAGTACATGAGTAAAACTGAGCACGTGCTTCAAGTTCTGTGCTAAATGGGGTATTTCACCTGTTTTAGGGAAAAAGGAGGTCTGTCCCCAGATACGTCAATTGCATTTCATGATGAAGACTGATGATAACAGTCACCTACCTGTTCTTACATAGTGTGGGGATTTGTTAATATGTATGAAGTTCAGTGAATATGCTGATGGTTCATGTTGGTTTTCTCCTTCGAGCTATAGCAATATAAGCACATCCAAGTAACAAAACAAGACCAAGTTAACACTGATGGTTTAAACACTGTATTTTAAATACTCAGGATATCTTCATACAAGAAAGTGGAAATAGGGTCTACATTCATATACTAAAGTTAAAACTATCAAACCCTTTTTTGAGAGCAGGAGGATGGGATGTTCCAAAAATAATTGTGATCTAGAAATCAATGTTGTGCCCTAAGGTTTGGAGCAAATGTGTAATCACCACTGTCATGCACTTTTGGTAGTAACAGAGTTGAAAACTAGGGCAGCACAGAATGATTTCTATGGTTTATGCTTGCTTGGACATACTCTAATCATACTTGTCCTTACTTTTAATCAACCTGGTTGCAAACATTAAGGAAGTATGTTAAGAAATTATGAGCTCTGAGGAAAGGCTTTGGTAAATCTCAGTTGTGTGCAGAATAGAAGAGCAGTACACAATGAAACAAGAATTAAGGAGAAAAGAGAAAAATCCATAGCTGAGGAAAAGAGTATCTTTCCCATCAAAAAGTTTTTGAAAACAGAGCACTTATTTAAAAGGCAGTTATTTAGTCTATAAAGCTGTTTGTTGCAGTGAAGATGACCTCCTTTGCATCGTACTTTTGATTTTGAACCTCTACCAAAGCACCTTATTGCATGGAGGTCAGAGCATGTTGGGCAAAACCTCCAAGGCTTTTGGATTATTAGGAGATTTTAGTCAAGATCATTAGGAGATATTTAGCCCTTCATACTCTATATTGATCCTTTTCAGACTGCGTAACAGTTTCCAACACATAGTTAGTGGATTTCTGCATGTAGCAATAGATCTTGTAAAGTCACCACATGACTGTGGGCATGTGGGGAGGAAGCTACTGGGGCAGAGAATACTTGTAATAGCTTCCATTCTTTAACTCTTCAACTGCATTAGAAACATGTGTCTCCATAAAGCCCTCCTTAATACAGGTGTATGCATGGATGGTAAAATGAATTGAGAAACAGAGCAAGAATGAAGTGGTTCAGCCTCAACTAGTGACTAGGAACTCAGCTGGCTGTTGGATTTGGACAGTTCCAGTTCCTCTCCATGGAGTTTTGAATACCACATCCCATGTTAATGGGTTCTTAACTTAAGCACTGCTTGGGAAAATGAGGGTCTTTTTCTCTGCTTTCTGAAAGAATGGCAGGGAGAATCTGATTCAGCATTTGTCTGTATGAAGGACTTACGGACTGGCCATCCAGGCAGCACCTAGTCCAAACATGTGCTGCTTCTTGCCCACCTGGCCAAGCACATAGCATTGGTCAGAAGATGTGTAAGAAATCTGGGGTTATTGTAAATGGGCACAGGTGAAACAGGAGGGAGCTGAGAAATTGCCAAGCAGAAGAAGAGATTAATAGTACAGAAATGGGTGTAGGATATTGTGGGCTTATGGGGCATAGAGGAGAAGCTGAAGGCTTGAAGGGGGAAGGGTTTGCAGATGAGGAGAAGCCATGAAGGGCAGCAGGTGGAACGATGAGGACAAAAACTGTGAAATTGCATCAGAGGAAGGAAGAAACCAGATTTCATTTATTGTTACCCTTGGACAAACTCTTTGAAAGTTTGGCGCCTGGTACAGAGGTTGGTAGGTGACAAATTTTATACCAAAGTAAAATTAAAAAGTAAATTAAACAGTAAATTTACTAAAATTATAAATATACTAAAAATAAAAAGTAAAAAAAAAAAAAAAAACAAAACCAAAACCTACTACTTTTTAGTAGGTTAGCAGTTTCTTACCAAAGCTACTCTGAAACCTCAGCATCGCTGTCATATAGTTTGGCAGCCAATTACCATTCCAGCAATGCCAGCACTAGCAGTATTCAGCAGCTTCCAGGGTTCAGTCTGCACCATTCTCCTCCCACAGCATGCACCTTATTATCAGAAAGTGCTTGTATTGCTCTGGGGACATCCAAGCAGTTGTGCTCCACTGGGATGAACATGAGCACATAGAGCAGGGCATGTCAAGTGTTTAGAGAGTTTGGACTGTATTATAGCAAGCTCTAATAAGTAAATAACTATGAAAGATAGCTAAGAAAATAAATATCAAATCTTATGACAACAAAAACATCAAACTTTGTTCAGAATGATTTCTTATGGAGGGAGGGAGGGTAGCACAAGCTGGGAAACTGAGTCCCAGAAAGGCTTTGGTGCCCGTGTCCTCCAAGACCAGCACATGCATAGCTCAGGCTCTGTGTCCTGGCTCTCTGAGTGACTGTGCACCTCTGAGGCCTCTGTGCTGGGGCTGGGATACCTCCGATTTGGGCATTGTGGTTTTCAGCATCACAGCACCTATGTTTGGCCCCAGCTTTTCACACTGAAATGCTTTACGAGCTAAATATTTCATTGAGCACGCGGTCTGTGCCTGGTGGCAGTCATTTCAGATGGATGCGCTGTATGCAAAGACTGACTGCTTTGCTTGAGCCAAACATAATAAGCTGTCTTGCATACTCCACACCTAATAAAATATTAAATATGTTTTGGCACCCAGAAATAAATACTGGCTCAAAATTCCCATCACACATATCTCCCTTTCCTTACCTCCCAGTTCCTCCCCCATGCTTTATACTGAAGTGCTGCTGCTCAGACCAAACAGTCTGTTGTCAGGTTGTGACACTGAAGGTGAGCAGTGCACAGTGCCATAGGGTTATTATCTGTTGGGATGTAACAAAGTGATTAAATCTGGTGCTACTGATGTACTTGTAGCCTGTGCCAGGCAGGGGCAGGCAGCTTGTGAAATGTCTGCTCCGTGTCTCAAAGTTGCTCAGTGGGAACTGATGGGGACTCAGTGGGAATAATGGGAGGTCACTTAAAGCTGAAAAGTGGAGCCTTGTGTTAAAAACCAGGATAAATAGAATATTATAAATAGAATAGAAACTAAAAAAAAAAAAAAAAAAAAAAAAAAAAAAGAGCACAGTAACCATAAACTGCTACAATATTCATAATTCAGTTATCAAATTCTTATTTAAAAACTGTGTATAGCTTAAAAATCACTGTCATAATAATACCCCTGTGTTAATGCAAGACAGTGATGCCTTTCCAGTACTTTGTCTTTTAATCCTCGGCGCTATGGTTTTATTTGATCTGTTCCTCCAGCCACCCAGAGGCAACCTAAAACGGTAGTAAAAATATCTGACCAGTATCTACCCACAGTCCCAAGTCAAAGCTCCTTGAAATCAAAGAGTAAAGTGCCACCAGCTTTGCCTGGGCTTTGGTTCAAGCTTCTCAAACCTGCTCCTAAAACCCAAAGGGACATGGGGGTGTTTGTGCCTCTCCAGCCCATGGCTCTCCCATCCTCCCTGTGACCCAGTGCTATATGTACAATAGCGTTTTTCTTGACTAATATTACCAGCGTGGTGTTTTCTTTGGCTTTGATAACGCTGTGATAAATTCCTTGGCTGGCCAGCACCTAACTGGAATACATTAGAAACCTACCTGGCAATGAAACTGCTGCCTAAGTGCATAGGAAGGCTTAGCCCCAGGTCAGCATCTGCACTCACAGCAAGTGCTTGCCTGCACCGAGGCACTGCTCAGCCCCTTCATTCAGGAGCTGCCTTTTGGAGTGGGGGCATTTTTCAGATAGCTTTGGTATAATGATATGTGTCTGCAGTTGTACATGGCTTGATGCTGCCTGACAGGAGAGAACAGGAGCACCACCCGTGCCTCACCCTTTGCCCTTTGCCTTCCCCTCGGTATGCTTCACTTCAGCATCCACCGGGGCTGCAACACGCACCGCTCCGTGGCGCGCTCGCGTTCCCCCAGGGCCTGAGTTGAGCATGTGATGAGCTATGTGACACGGTAACTCCGTCCTTTCCCGGCGCTGCCCCCATTTCAGAGCACGAGAAGCTGACGAGCGGCGTTTTTCCCGGGCGCGCGTGTTTTTCTTCCCCCCCTTCCCCCCGCTGTAACTCTTAGGCCCTATCCCGGCGCTGTGTCGGCCCGCCATGGGGACCGCTGTGCCCCGGCGAGGGGAGTGGGTGCGTGAGGCGGGGCGGTGCTGCCCGGCGGGCGGGTTGGGGCCGCGGCGCTGCTGAAGGGCACGGCGGGGCGGTGGCATCTCCCTTCCCCGCTCCGCCCCGCCCCGCCCCGCCCCGCCGGCAGCACCAGCGCCGTCGGTGCCGCGGGGAGGGCGGGGAGCGCCTGGTGGAGCGGAGGGGAGCGGAGGGGAGCGGAGTGGAGCGGAGTGAGTGGCGCGAGTGGCGCTGCGGGCAGGGGCCGGGGCCGGGGCCGGGGCCTCGCCCCTCCTCTCCCCTCCCCGGTGCTACCTGTGCGAGCGGTGCGGGGCCGAGCTGGACCGAACCGGGCCGGCTCCCGCCGGGGGGAGCGGGGCGGCGGGGGCTCGGTGGCAGAGCCCCGGGGGTGTGGGGCGGAGGCCGTTCGGGGCCCGCCCGGAGCCGGGTGCGCTTACCGGTAGTGTTCCGAAAGTGGTGTGGGAATGACTTCATGGAGGCTTTGCATCTTTGCCGTTGGCGAACAGGAATCGGGAGGACGCGGCGTTGGTGGGACGAGGGCCTGATCCTGCGGGCACCGGCGAGGACGGAGCAGCCCTCTCCTGCCTGGCTGGCCCCAGGAACTGCTGCTCGATGGCCAGAGGCGTGCTGGTGGGACCACGTTTACAACATGCTCTCGACACTTCAGCCATCCCCACTGTGCTGGTATGTCAACCAGGCTTTTCTTTCATCTCGTCTCACCTTGCTCAGGTCCTGCCAGGGCTGGGGTAGCCTGGTGCTGGTTTATGGGAGGGATGGGCTGTGTCCCTTCACAACCATCACAGTGTGCAGTGACCCATGGGGCGAGCTGTGGCCATGGGCAGGACTGGCCTTCAGCATGTGGAGAAAAGGAGGAAGACCTAGGTTAGAGGTGGGGTTTGCAGGACAGGCAGTGGTAACACCTTACTCCTGCCATTGTCACAATGAGGTTGGCTAGCGCCAAAGTCCTCCAGACTGGGCACGGCAGAGGTGCAGCCCCTTGGGATTGTCTGGGAAGAGGTGGTGCTGCGTACAGCCATGCAGGCATTGCTGAGCAGGAAGATAAGTGGCCTGACTGCTCCTCTCTGAGTGGCTGGGGTGGTGTGAGGGTTTCTTGTCTGCCCCTGAATACCTTTTCCAGGCTTTGGCCCAAACCTGGATGGGGCAGGCTACCTTCATCTAGTACATCATAAAATACAGATCTGGTAGCATAAGGTCAGCCATGGCAAAAAATTGTAGAACATTTAGAAACATCTTATTCTTTCTCATGGTTAAGGAAGTAGGACTTCAAATCGTGTTTCTAAATGCAGTAATTAAAAAGGAAAAATACAGGGATTTGTACTGTAGTCTTAACAAAGTGGCATTTTTGACCTTTGAGTGCATACAAATTAGTTTTTTTTCATAACATTATGTTCTGCTGAGAATTGTTTCTCTAAAATCTCTTTAGTTTGTACAAGTAGCACAGGGGCTGTGCGGAGCCTCACGATGCTCATGTGTCAGGGGACAAGGTGGTTCCATGGGCAGGGTCCTGGGGGAGAGCCAGCAGTGCTGCTGGGCTCTGCGGGTACTACTGCCTCGCCTGGCTGCTGGCCACCTTGCTGCTTGGACCCAGAGGCAGCAGCTCCCTTAGAAGTAGAAGCTGGCGCATTGGGAGTGATGAAATTCAAGGAAAATACTTGGGGAGAGCTGTGAGACAGTGACATTTAGGGCTGACATAGTTATTTATTGCAATTCTGGGCAGCTTTTGTACAACTGGAGCATCTGGCTGTTAACCCCTCACTTTGTCCTCGGCTGATTTCTGCCACTCATTAGTAACACAGTTGTGATTTTAAAGCATGGGGCTGTGTTTTCCTGTGTGTTCTTATGTGAGATGTGGACAAACAGGTCTTCTGCTCCATTCCTGAGTCCCAGTTTTACCTTTGGCTTGTGCATAGGGAGATTAAAGAGCAGAATGGGGTTGTGCGCTGCTTTTCTTGTACTACTCTATCCTGGTGGGCAGATCCTGGCCATCTCCTTCCTCTGACTTTCACTTTTGCTAATCTAGTGGGACCTTGCCTTTGTAAGGGCGCCACAAAGCAAAACAACGTGCTTCATTCATACCTTGAGGTCTGCGGCTCCATATGCTCGTAGATGAATCTTGTGACTACAAGATACTACAATAAAACACGACTCTGTCAGACTGAGATACTGATCCAGTGTTCTACCTGCTGCTGCTCATCAGTTCCAGCTGGCAGGATCCCCAGGCTGGGCAGCAGCCAGGGATAATGGCAGGAGGGACTTTCTTGCTTGTGAAGATCTGTGCATCCCTGCCCGCTGTCTGCAGCAGTCTGTCTGCTGCAAAGGACAGTAATGCACCTTTACAAACAAGCCTAGATCCTAAGCTTTAGCAGGAGTGTAGGTAGCTTGATGCTTTAATGTGTTTCTGAAGGTGCGTCATTAATAGGTAGGCTGTGATGCCACAGTTGGCTTGTTGGGATATAAGTTTTGTGGTGTATCTAGGAAAATACTAGTTTCTGCTCTGGTTTGTCCAAAAGAGTATCATGTTGTAATAAACCACAGGTTGCTTTGTTTGGAGCCAGTGCCATGCTTTAGAGCAGTCTAACTTGGGCAGTGCCTCTGATACCCTTTGGTGATACAAGTTGTGTTTTCCCCTGCTGTAGGGAAGATGGTTTTGGGGAACTTCAGGCTGTAGATTTGCACCTAATCCCTATGGGGGGTCAGCTGATAACTACATCTATAGGCTTTGCTGAACAACATGTTGAACCCGTGTCTTTCTTAGGGCAGGGAAACAGCTGTACCATCTATGTTAAGAACCTGATATCCATTTCTTTTGTTTTTGTGCACTCACCAGTTTCAAGCATTATTTTGTATTTGGGTTCTTAGAGAGTTTCAGGTCTCCTCTATAACACTAGCTTTTCCTCCCTCTGAGCCAAGGCATTCCTCTGTAATTTCTGTAGTTGGGTTCCTTAAATCCTAGCTAAACTTCCTGCAGATGGACTTTCTGGGAAGCTCTGCATCTTCCTCATGCGTTTTTTTCTACAGTCTTGCTTAGAGGCCTCACTTGCTAAGGAAACCCATTGGTCCACTCTTACTCATATAGAAAACAGGCTTTAATCAACAGAAGGCATCCCACTCTTGTTTGTACAAGGGTAGGTTAAGCTGATTTTCTCCCTTGTCTATGGTCTGGCAGAGGGTCTGTGCTGATAAATGTCTGCTCACTTGTATTCTGAGACACTGGGGGGGAAAAACTACCAGGTGTTCAAAAAGCAAGTAGAGTTAGTATGTGGTGTGTATTTCTGTCTGAATTTGGTGGAAAAAGTAGCATGTGCAGGTGCTTGGGCAAGCAGCTAGGTGATGAGCGCAGAAGTGGTAAGAAGTTTTCAACATCCCCTTGTCTTCAGGCTGATCTCTGCTGCATGTGGTTCTGGTAAATAAAGCCCTGTACTGGCGGGAGGAAGCATTTCAGGAAAGGCTGGATGGGTACAGCTTTACTTTCATGAAACCAGACAGGTACCAAGCACACAATGCTCTTTGCTTTTAACAAGACTGTTTTTTCCTGGATGAAAACCACCCTTGTGGCTGCTGAGGACTGTACTGACTGACACTGCTGTTGTCTGAACTGTTGGTATTTCTGCCTCAAGGCTCCCAGCTGTACTCCAGCCTTGCTTGCTGCTTCCGAAAGCATGGGTAAGATTGCTAGAGCAGTAAGGAAAGCACTTGGGGTTTGTTCCTTACTTCTGTGGTCACATGTCTGTTGTGTGTGCGTATGGGGCTTGGCTGGTTTTTGTTAATACAGCGGTGTTCTGTTTGCTTGTTTCTTTCTAAGTCAGTACTGGCTTTAGATCCAGAAGCTTTAGATATCCAGAGCATGTCAGCATAAAAACTCACATCAACACAGGTATACTGATTGGCAGCAAAAAAAACCTGATTCCCCCACTCCCACTGTGCGTGTAAATCATGAATTGAGGCAAAGAAATATTTTCCTCTCTCCTGTTTTTCCCTCTAATTTTCTTTAAGATTTTCATGTTCCTTAACTGCACTGCTGAAGTGGTTGAGAGTTGAAATTTGACATGGAAATTGCCTCCATTAAGTAACTCGGTGTTCTGACTGAGAAAGAAACTCATAGGAAAGTGGATGTCTGTCTCCTCGTCCAAGTATAAAGTGACAGGACGAAAGGAAACAGCCTCCAGTTGCACCAGGGGATGTTTAGACTGGGTATTAGGAACAATTTCTTCACCAAAAGAGATGTCAAGTATTGGGATGGGCTGCCCAGGGTAGCGGTGGAGTCCCCATCCCTGGAAGTACTTAAAAGACATGTAGGTGTGGCACTTAGACCTGGTTTAGTGGGGGACTTGGCAGTGCTGGGTTAATAGTTGGATTTGATGATCTTAAAGGCCTTTTCCAACCTAAACAATCTGATGAACAGCTGTTGTCTTACCGAAAACCCTTTTAAAGTAAGCTTTTAAAGAGGTCATGCCTGGTTCTGAAAAGTGATGCTGTTTCCCCATTCAGTTACAATAAACTGGCTTAGAAGCCTGCAAAAGTTTTTATCAATTCTGGCCATGGGGGGTGGAGGGACCCTTGGAATTCCAGCACGTGCCCTGAGTCAGATAGCCAGAAGACTCACACTGACACACTAATCCTGCACAGCAGTTGTTTGCTGTTCCTGCATCCAGCCCTTTCCAATCTGTAGCTCTTATCTCTTGCTGGCAGTAAGCAACACGAGGGAGAGGATGGCTCTGCGAGGAATGAGGGCTCCATTTTTGCTCTTTGTTGCCCAAGTTGTTTCAGGGTATTTAGGTAAATCAGTGATTGCCTGAGGTAGCTGGATCTTGGGAATCATGCTTGTCTTAAAATAACTCCAGCTTCTTAAAACCTCCGTTCCCTATCATGAGAAGGAACCTTTATAATAAATGTTACTACAGTGTGCTGCCTCTGTTGGCTTTGCAGAAAACTGGATGTGAAGGAGAGGCAGACATTAAAAGTGGTGGGTCAGATTGCTCTGAGAGGCCCTGCCTGGGCTGTTCTGCACAGGAGCCTGAGCGACAGAGGTGATGCTGTGCACTAATGATTCATTCCTCTAACGTCTGTGTGCTGGTGCTCTGTTTAAAACTGCAGAGCACCCAGAGGCACAATATCATGTATCCTCCTGAACAGCATCCCGCCTTGTTAGGGAGAGGAAAGGCAGATGTAAGATGTTCCGGATTTCTTTTTCTCTCCATTATTGCATGGAGGATGTAAGTAATGCAATTAGATGCAGTTCAGAGGTCTGGATGCCTGGATGCCGTTTGGTTTACCTCTGCTGCTACCTCAGCTGCATCACTTGCCTCAAGCTTGAGTGTTTTTGTTACAAAGAGTAATGTTTATTGTTTTCATGATAACGACAACACTATGATTATCTGAAAACTCTCCCTATGCACTTGGATGATAAAGGTCCAGGTCTCAGCAGAAGCTCTGAGAGGGAGAAGGGAAAACAGGAACTTTTAAGCTTTGGCAGAAGATGGGGCACTCCACATGCTGGCATATGACCCTTTCTATATCCACACTGAAACTGTCCTTAACTGGACTTGTGGACGATGGAGGCAAATAGGATGGGAGGCACTTGCCCAAGCACCAGCCCCCTGTACGATGGGATTAGGTGCTGTATATAAATTGTTGCAGCCTACCATTCAATCTAATTTCTGAAGTGCTGTATCATCACCTTTGTCAAAGTCAAATCCTGTGGGTGAGCAAGCAGGCAGACTTCTGCAAGGACAGCACTATGGATTTCATCTAACCTTGTGATAATACTTAACTTTGACACATCCCCTAGTGCTAACTTTCATTTATTGGTTCCGTTTGCAGTCCCAGCTGTGAAGCTGTCTGTGCCATGCTGAGGACAAGTGGGACAACTTGTTAAAAGCAGATGTGGTTTTGGTAAGTAGCACACTGAGCTTCTCTTGTGGATACCGAGATTAAAACTAAAAGCCTCCCTGGCTGGAGGAGGGCTGCACAGAGTCCATATTTGAACCTAAAGGTTTGGAAACTGAGGAGCCTGGCTCTGTCACAGCAGAAACTGCTCACTGTGTTCAGTTGGGCAAAGCTGCACTAAGCTATTTTGAAAAGTATGACTTATTTGTTAATCCAATGACAGCTGTAGCAGAAAGTGTTACAGAAAGCAGTTCCTTGCAGTATAGCATTGAACTTCAAGGAGATTTTTTTTTCAAAGGTCTTACGCATGAAGCTTTTTAAATGGTAGCAGGAACTTCCTTGCCTGCAGTAGCTAGAGATGTTGTATAACAGCAGAAGTCTTGCTCTTCATGCCTGTCTTCATCATGTGAAGATGTACTCCAGAGAGGAGGGTGAAACTTATTTTTGGGTAGCTCACGTTTATCCTTTTGTAATTATTTCTTACTAATGATTTTAATACCTTAAAAAGTCTTATTTGTCTAAATGAAACTGCAATTATGCTATTAATGCTTTTTAAATGTAATTTATATTGTATAATAGTGAATTGCAGGCATCCTTTTACCACTGTTTTGTTTCCTTCAGTATTTAGAAATGAACTTACCTTGTCAGGAAACACCTAGCCAGGCTGGCAAAGAGACTGCTTAGCCCTCTCATGCAAGGTGAGTTCAGCTATGTGGTATGGCTCCCTCAGTGTTTTCTCTCTCCTTGTATTACTACAGGGCACGTGTGCAGTAAATAACGTCACAGGTGAAGCAACACCTGAACTTCCAATTCCAGGTGTATGGAAGGGAATCGATTGTTTTCAGGACTCTTAAAATAATACACAGTTTATAGTATTGAAGTTTAATGAGGTATTTATTTAAAAGCATATTTACTACATGTCCCCTGAAATTGAGCACAATGAGGAACCTGTATTACCCAGATTAGTTAAATCAGCATTTTGGTTACTGTAAAATTGGTCTTGGTTTGTGATGGTGCTGCTCTAACTCCTGGCTGACAGTGTAGCAGAGCAGATTGCAGCTCCCTAACCTCTGCCTCCAGCTAAGCACGCAACTTGTCACATGAGGGACTGTGTCTGCAGAGGTTTTGGCCTGAGCCTCAAACCATCTATGCAGTGGTTTCTGAGACAAATCTGGCAACAGATCAGAGCTTGGGCATTAAAACAGACTCGTGTGCAGTTACTGAATGAAACATCGTGCTGGGAGTAAAATGAGTATCCTCCCTGCTGCTCCCCGAGGGGGTGAGCATTGTGAGGAAAACCGGAGATACTGAAGTCCCACTCTGGAGATGAGTTAGGTGGAGAGTGTTTTAACAGCACTATACCACATACGTGCAAGCAGTGGTTGTCAGAAAAACAGGCAAGCAGTCAGAAGATTGAGGGCAGCTTCATTTGCGATCATTCATGTGCCCACAATTATTAACCCAAGTAGAATGAGGAAACTATAAAACTTATTGCAGTGACTGGGAAAGTACCGCACTCCATAAATAATGAAGTGAGCAACAGTCGAGCATTTAAAATAAGGTCAATAACTTTGCTTTTAAGCTCAACTAGTAATCAATTCGGAACAATTTAGTTGTCTTGGATGTCTTGCTATCTAGAAGCGTTATAGCCTGCCCCTTCAATGTGCAGGGCAGTCACACAGATACTTGATTTAGCCCAGATGAAAAGGCAGAGGTAAGAAGGTGGGAACAGAGGTAAATCCTGCAGATGAAGATGCTGAAGATGATTTTCTTCCTACCTGCTTTAGGAAATGTTTACCTTATTCCCTCCTTCTTTCTGCTGGACACTAATTCACCTGCTGGTGTCCCCTCACAAAAGAGGAAAGGAAATCTCCAATTTTAGGATGGAAACATCTTAAACCAATGATAAAATACTAACTAAAACTGGCTGCCATTTAACACACCTCCTTTTAGAAACACACACACACAAAAAAAGGAGTAACATCTAAAAGAATATGGGTCCAAACTTAGATTAGAAATCAAATCTGAATTGTCATTAAGTAAAATATCAGGCATGAAAATCTAATGAAATACTTTATCAACTGTGGCATAGAGCTACAGTTTTATGGTTGGGGAATATGAGGCTTAAATTTATGGTATTTACAATTCTGGCTTAGCCTAAGGAGGAAATGATACCAAATCGAAAACTTCTAATGCTACTAGTAGTAGTGAGAGGGAGGTATATAGATATGATGTATACCTCCCACAAAGCTTGCGTATTACCTTGGCTGGGTAAAGACTGCCGTGTTCAGGTATTAGCTATGCTGGGTTATAGATGCTGTTAGCAATTCTTTGCCATGTCAGATACTTTGAGCTATGTATTTGTTCAGAAAAGCCAGTGGAAATTATTTTTATTAATATTTTATTAATGATAAATATTGAAATTAGACATGCACAAGATACTACTATTAGAAAGGTCTGAATTATTCAGACGTCTGAATTGCTTTCAGACATGTCCTTGGCCTCTGGTCTATAAGCATGTTCTGAAAGCATTTTAAGCTTCATCAGTTAATAGACATGGGTATGAAGCTCATGGGGTTTTTTAATAAACCTCTACAGGGATCAGTATAGTTTCTTGTGCGGTGAAGGGAAATCCAGCCTTTTACTCATTTAATAACAAGTTATTACAATAAAAATCTGTCTGATAGCTTAGTTCTCCTCTGTATTGGGTAAAACTACAAATGCTCCCAGCAGGGTTTATGTTACAGGCTTGTTCACTCTGCTGCCTGCTCTGAAATACACTGGCACATGCTCCAGGAAAAAAAAAACCACCTTACTAAATTTTATTAGAGGGATTTATAAACACTTCTCTAAAATGCTGCAGTGTTCTGACACAAAGCTAAAGGTGTGAAAACATCTGTATGTACTTTGTGGTTTCAGAAGCCCTTCAGCTCTTTCTGCCAGAAACACCAACCACCACTTCCAAGTACTGGCACTTGAGTCCTACAAACTGTTTCCTAAACAGGTAATGATGTTTTTAGTGATGCTTGTGACCATGAACCTGGTCCTCATGGGTCAGCTGCTAGGGTGGGGAATTCCGTCCTACCTGTGAAGCACTGTTTGCCTGCAAATGGGATTGATATCCTCTGCAAATATTTGCTTCTGATCAGGTTACTGGGTTGGAGTCCCTGTTTCCCCCAGTGTATAAAGCAAATAAATAAGGCTTAACATCTTTGTCATGATTATGTTTTCAAAGGCTATTTACAAAAAACTCTTTAACTTTGGCTGACCTTAGTACAGCGTCATCGGGTGAAGCTGTAGGGAACAGTTGGTTTCTGTGCAGAGTCTTTATTTTGGCTGGCAGTCTGTTAACTCCGATAAGTGGGTAAGCTCATGCCAAGCGAAGTCAAGCATATCATGAGATTCTGCTTTGTCTGTACTGAGAAACAGCCTTGAAGGCTAATAAACAAAAAACCATACACCAGAGTTCGGGGCTGAACAACTGTGATTCTTGAAGAGTTTAACAAAAGGACCCTGTCAGGTGTTGCATTCACCACTCTCCCTCCTCTAGATGTGCAGCTGTCCTGCTTTAGCAAGAATGGTGCTCCAGCTCTGTAAGAACTGCCTTGAACACAGCAGTGTGCTGCTGCTTTCCCTGACCTCTCAAGGGAAAAGAAAGAAAAACAGCTCTTGTTTCTCATGAATATGTGTTCAAGCCTCCTTGAGCAACAGCAGAATGACACTGGGAATTAGTGTCACTCCTGCCCAAAAGGCATACAACAGCCATGACACAAGGCTCTTGTGCAGTGGTGGTTGTGTCGTGCCTCTTGGGGTGTTTTGGGGGTTTATTTTCTTTAGCAGCAGCAGTCACTGCAGTTAAACAGTATTTGTTGACAGATTCAGGAAAAGAGCACTGCATTGTCAGTTGGAAAGAAATGATTATTCTTACTGTTTTCCCCAAGACCTTTGCATTCCTAGATGGCTTACATCATGTACTGGGAACTGCATGCAAAGGCAGTTTGAATTCAGGTCAAGCTTTGCCTATTTCTGATAGATGTATGTTACTGATAAAAACATTTTTCACACACCATGCAAACATTTATTAAAGTTGTTTCTACAAGCATCTGTACTGAATTTATCTTTCCTCTGAGCTCACTGGGAATGGTAGACTATTTATTGTGCTTATATGAAACAGTGTTTTGACAGATTTCTTCAGAAGTAAGCAGTACAAAAGAAGACATTCTGCTCTTTGAAAACAACTGGAACCACTGGCAAGAAGCAGCAACACTGCACTGAACAAGGGCACCTTTTCCAGGTTATCAAAACATGCTATTGAACTGAATTTTGCAGCTGCATTTTCAAATGTACCATGGGATGCATCAAATCCAAGGCTGCCTTTCAAGGTTCAAATGCTATCCAGGATGAACAGATCAGGGAAGGTAATGAAGGATGCACTGGAGAGAAATCATCACTGATAGCAGTGAAGGTGGATGAGAAAGCTCCATCAAGCACTATAGTGCTAGACTATGCACACCGTCTCTCCCGTGAGATCCTTGATCAGGCAGTAAAACAGTGGGCAGTGACTGAAAGCAAATACAGCGACATCCCTTTTATTGAAAGTGATGTGCCCTGAGCCCTGACTGACAAGAACTGTCTTCACCATGCGTGTCCTGTCTGTGAAGCAGTTTGTATTTGGTACTAGTGAAAATAAAGTAAAATCAGCTGTGATTTGAGCATAATGCCACTATATGAATGTGTTTGCAAGAAGAGGTGAAAAAAAAATTGCCTTTTCATCTATATTGCTAAGAAATTAATTGGATTACAGTACAATCTATTAAGAAAGTGTCATTTGTCATCAGCCGTATGTTGAGTATGTTCTGTCTTTATATGTGTCGAATGTGATCAGAGATAGTGTTAAAAGGATGAGAGGAATGTGGCTGCCCTGCAGCTGTACAAGCACTGCCTCAGAGGCCCCAAAGATGCTTGACAACAAAGTGTGGATTATTTTTATGTATTGCAAAAAAAATCAGTGGCCTGGTTGTAGGTGAAAAGAGAGGAACTCTCCATGCTTGGTAAATTTATCTGCATTTTGCTGAAGTGAAACCAAGGTCTGCATGTAGCAAAGGTAACTGCTGTCATAGATTTTACCTTGATTCTTTGACCTGGCTAAATCTGTAAACCACAAAATAATGAAGGTGATGAGAAGCACTGTATAAACCCCAGCAGTATTCAGGGACCCATATGGATTATGATACTAATGAACTTCCGTTCTTAAGTGAAACAGTGAGGTACAGGACTGTGTTGACAAACAGTGCATTATAATTAACAGATGCTGTGGCTTCTGTAAATGCATGAAGGCTATTCTCTAAAATCCTACAGTAAGGTAGTTTAATGACATCTGATCACTGTGTTCAGACCAAAGCTGTTTGGATTTTTGGTTTGGTTTTGTTTTTATGTTCGGGTGCTGTTTTTTAGGGGGGATTGGTTTTAGTTTTTTACTGTAACCCACATAGGTGTGCAAAAACTACTGATGCAAACTAGTGAAATGAACCTTCGACAGTGTGACAGTATTTTAGGACTGTATGTTTCATAGGACCTATGGCTGATTTACACTAAAATTTCACACAAAGGTAATGCCCTCGGCACAGTACCTTCCTTCAGCTTCTGTAGGCTCATCCTGACCCAGTGGTAAAAACTGCACATGGTGATGCAAATACAAGCTACAGAAACCCAAAGCCTGAGCAGTGCACTGAATCTGCAAATAAGCCTTAGGCCCAAAGCTTAAGGGACTCAATTCTTTACCAATTTTATATAGCCTGCCTCCAGACTCCGTACCCTGCTTCTCCAGGACTTGCAGCCTGTCCTACAGTACTTGTAACTAACATTTGAGATATGAAAAAAGGGAGGTGTTAATCACTGTCATCTTAAAGCTACAATTTTGCTGACATTTTATACAAAGTGAATGCCTTGTAAAAGCTTGGGGTTTAGCACCAGTTTGTTCCTTTTTCTGTTATGGCCAATTTAAAAGACGTAGGTTTGGTTTTTTTTCCTAGATCAAACTGTTTTCCATTTTATGTTTTTGTCTTACAGAAAAATGCTTTCCATACTGGCAAAAACTGTTACTATTTTTAAAACATACACATAGTTCTAGTAAATTATATAAAGCAGGATTTTTCAGGCAGAGGGAAGCAAGCAGAAAGAGGACCATGTAAGTTGTTACCTGTAGCCTGCCTTAAGTCTGAGAATAAGCTATGATTTGAGCTGTTTTGAAAACTCTGCCACACAAACTTAGTTTCTTTAAATCCACCTGTATGGGAAAGTGGTTTTATCAAGAGTAAAGGGTGAAAAATGGTTCTTTGTAACACAGCACAAGACTGTATTAGTTCACAGTGACCAGACTAGACTCTGCTATTAAGACTCAGGCTTTTGCTGAAAAGAAGGGGAACAAAATCTGCTTATGTTGCATTGTTTTCTTCTTTGAAGTAATGAATCTTTAAAGCCATATGTAAAGTGGGACCAAGGCCCACTTAAATTCTACTGCCAAAAGTGATGTACCTTGAAGTTCTAAAGCATGTAAAATATTAGACCATACCCTACATTTGCTCAGTCCAAAGAAACGTCCATGCTATATACTAGGATGATCAGATCAGCACATATATTAATTTGATCTTGGTTAACCACAGTATTAAAAAAGATTCCTATTCATATTATAGCTAAAATAAAGTTTTATTACAAAAAAAAAGTGAACCTTTCTGTAACGTTAGTCTTTACTTAAAGATATTAACACTGTCAAAGACAGTGATTAAAGAAAAAAATAGCAAAGACACCCCAAAGCAAAAAAAGACAAACATATCCTCCTGCCCCAACCCCCACGAAAACAAGGCGGGAGGGAAGAAACCCTCCCAAAAGCTCCAGAGACATTATTTGCCAGATAGGTGACTAGCAGATGGATACAAAACTGCTGCACTCACTTTAAGAGTGCATTTAGGTAGATCTGTCTTGACCCTTGTACAAGTAACCTTGGTGGCTGTCAGGGCGAGTTAGGTGTTGCAATGTCTCAAATCCTTTCTCTGGATGTAACCTTAGCATCTGACACTCTTCTGGGAGTCAGAATATCAGATGTGCTTTTGAAACCAGCTTCTCCATTGGCAGGCTGCCGCTGCATGGTCCAACAGCAGGCAGAATTATAAAATAAGATATAATAGTCTAAAGTTATATCATGGCATCCATGCGGATAAATACTCAAAATTTCCCCAGAGGAGAAGGTCACTTAGGTATAATTAAACATGCTTCACAGTGTGACTCCATTTGGAGTACTTGCTGTGTGGAACACGTTCGCTGCTTCCTCAGAAAGTCATCATAACATGATAGTAAGCGGATCACCCACTGTCCAACCAGTTACCTACCTGCAACCACAAAGCTTGTCTTCTCTCATTAATGCTGGAAGACTACAGCAGCTTCAATATGGCCTGAAGTGCAATGCCAGCTGCTTTGTGATGCTTTCTAGGACACTGGAACTTCAGGGAAAGCATGAAGCAAACGGAAGGCAAACAAGCTTACAAACAAGAGGGAGACAACTTCTCACCAGGAAAATAATCCCTTTTAGAAGAAACTGTCCTTAATAAATAATGCACATACCCTTAATAAAATAAAAACATAAATAAAAGCTGCTCAATACTACAGTCTGGTGAGGAATTGAAGGAGACTTCTATCCAGAATTACACTGTGTTTCTAATGGGCACAATACTAATGTATAATAAAAATCAAGATGGCTTTACCTAAATAAAATTACATATCTTATTAGATTACCCTCAACTGTGCCACTTGCAGTGGCTTTCCAGCTAATTTGCCACTGATTCTTTGACTTGATTTTGTGTAATAAAGGCACTCCAGTATGGGACTGGCATACTCCACAAAACCATTTACTTCTATTTAGGAGTTAAAAATACGCTTGCTTTATATTTTCTCCAGGAAACATAAATGTAGTCTGTATAGATACAATGTGACTGACTTGATATTCTAATAATAATTCAAAACATATTAACTACAGCACAACTTCATAAAATTGACATTTCTGGACTAAGACACATCAGTAATCCCAAATAAAACACAGTACAATCTATTTTTTACAGTATCTTTTGTGGAAAATATTTTCTTGTGGACCAAATAAAATTGAACTTACCATCTGTTTGTACGACTTTTATTTCATAGAAATGCACAGATTGGACAGGATCTTGCTACCATGAGTCTGGGATAATTTATGTTCGCATAAATTTTGGAGGCAACTGACCATGCAAATCAAAGTTTATTGATTCAGAAGTACTCTTGCTAAAGCACCTTAAGTCCTTTTCAGTCAGAGAAGGCATGATCCCTACTGCCTGAAAATTACCATGTTTTTCATTAAATAGTTTCTGAAGATTGCTCCTTTTGTATAAAAATAATGGAATGAACAAATATAAAATAAAAATAACCACCTCCTTGGATGGATAAGGAGCTGCTGAGGAAAATTCAAAGGAAAAAAGAGGCTTATAAAAGGTGGCAGCAAGGACAGGCGACCTGGGAAGAGTACAGGGATGTTGTCCAGGAAGCTAGGGACCAGGTTAGGAAAGCTAAGGCCCAGTTAGAATTAAACTTGGATAGGGATATTAAGGATAACAGGAAGGGATTCTATAGGTACGTAGCGAATAAAAGACAGACTGGGGACAACACAGGCGCCCTCAGGAAGCTATCGGGAGAACTGGCTACACAGGATTTGGAGAAGGCTGAGGTTCTGAATGATTTCTTTGCCCCGATCTTCACTGGCAAAGGCTCTGACTGCACCACCCAAGTCTTGGAAGGCAGATGCAGGGACTGTGAGAATGAAGACCCTAGGCCCACTGTAGGAGAGGATCTGGTTCAAGACCATCTTAAGAACCTGAATAAGTACAAGTCCATGGGACTTGATAAAATCCATCCACACATCCTGAAGGAGCTGGCAAATGAAGTTGCTAAGCCGCTGGCCATCATATTTGAAAGATCATGGCAGTCAGGTGAAGTTCCTGACGACTGGAAAAAGGGAATTATAACCACCAGTATCAAGAAAGGGAAAATGGATGACCCGGGGAATTACAGACCAGTCAGTCTCACCTCTGTGCCTGGAAAAATCTTGGAGCAGATTCTCCTGGAAGGCATGCTAAGGCACATGAAAAACAACAAGGTGCTTGGTGACAGCCAGCATGGCTTCACTAAGGGGAAATCCTGCCTGACCAATCTGGTGGCCTTCTATGATGGGGCTACAGAACTGATGGACAGGGGTAGAGCAGTTGCTGTTATTTACCTGGACTTGTGCAAAGCATTTGACACTGTCCCACACAACATCCTTGTCTCTAAATTGGAGACACATCAGTTTGATGGATGGACCTTTTCTTGTGGATGGATGGGTAAAGAACTGGCTGGATGGCCGCACACAGAGAGTTGTGGTCAATGGCTCAATGTCCAGCTGGAGACCTGTAACGAGTGGTATCCCTCAGGGATCGGTGTTGGGACCGATCTTGTTTAACATCTTCATTGCTGACATGGACAGTGGGATTGAGTGCACCCTCAGCAAGTTTGCCGATGACACCAAGCTGTGTGGTTCGGTTGATACGCTGGAGGGAAGGAATGCCATCCAGAGGGACCTCGACACGCTTGTGAGGTGGCCAATACCAACCTCATGAAGTTTAACCATGCCAAGTGGAAGGTCCTACACCTGGGTCGGGGCAATCCCAGACAGCTACAGGCTGGGCAGAGAAGAGAGTCAGAGCAGCCCTGCAGAGAAGGACTTGGGGGTGTTGGTTGTTGAGAAAATGAACATGAGCCAGCAATGTGCACTCACAGCCCAAGAGGCCAACCGTATCCTGGGCTGCATCAGAAGGAGTGTGACCAGCAGGTTGAAGGAGGTGATTCTGCCCCTTTATTCTGCTCTCGTGAGACCTCACCTGGAGTATTGTGTACAGTTCTGGTGTCCTCAACATAAAAAGGACATGTATCTGTTGGAACAAGTCCAGAGGTGGCCACGAGAATGATCAGGGGACTGGAGCACCTCCCGTATGAAGACAGGCTGAGAAAGTTGGGACTGTTCAGCCTGGAGAAAAGAAGGCTGCCTGGAGACCTCATAGCAGCCTTCCAGTATCTGAAGGGGGCCTATAGGGATGCTGGGGATGGACTCATTAGGGACTGCAGTGACAGGACAAGGGGTAACAGGTTAAAACTTAAACAGGGGAAGTTTAGATTGGATATAGGGAGGAAATTCTTTCCTGTTAGGGTGGTGAGGCA